GGGGAGAAGAAGAAGAATGTGATTTAAAAGTGAAAAGAATGGAGATTCTCTTAAGAAACATTTATTAAACTGGAAAAAATTTGAAACATTTTAATCTCGTCACACAAAAGTAGTACTTTAAAATGAGAGCCTTTTCTTCCTCATGTCACAATTTTTTTTCGTGGTTTAAAAACAAAAAATTAAAATAAAACTGATTAAGAAATGACAATAGTACCTTTTGGAAGTGACCAACTTGGTTTGTGCTGTCAACGAGGTGAGCAGCCTTACCAAAGAAGGTATGGACCCCAGTGGCGATCACAATTGCCTCAATCTCACCTTGCTTCACAGTGGAGCCAGAGAAGACTTCATCACTGGGGCCCCTCGTCACCGGCAAAGACTCGCCGGTGAGGGCAGACTGGTCAATCTTGAGGGCATCTCCGTCCAACAGGCGAGCATCTGCTGGGACAATATCTCCCAACTTAATACTGATTATATCTCCTGGTACCAAGATTGCAGCCTCTTGCTCAGTCCACTTTCCATCTCTTAGAACCTACAGAAAGAAAAGTTCATGACTATCACTTGAAACATAACATAAAAATAATGTGTGTATGTATGTATCATGTATATATATATATATATATATTCACTCATTATCACCTTGGTTTTTGGAGCAAGACCAGCCATAAGTGCTGCTGCAGCATTGCCCGCATTGTTTTCTTCCATGAAACTTATGGTGGAGTTGATCAAAAGCAATATCACTATACCAATGAAATCTTGCCAGTCTGGTGGTTGGCCCTGCATTCATATTTGTTCATTGAAAATATTAATAACCCTAATCGCATTTCACTTATATATATTACACCAGATTATATATATATATATATATATATATATGTATGTATGTATGTTATATATTCGGAGCTGAAAGAGATCATGGTATGTTATGTTATGTTTACCCCTCCATTTGCCAATACAATTGCCATGATAGCAGCAGCCTCCATGACCCATGATAGAGGATTCCACATAAAACCCAAGAATTTCAGAAGCTTGCTTTCCTGTTACAAGAACAACAAATATATTAAACACTTAAAATTGATTAATAACTGTTGAAAGATTATGATAATTTGTAATTAGTTATTATTGTCTTTGTTTTATTTTCTGTTTTTAGGAAATAAGGTAAATCTGATCATATTAGATAAGATTAGGGCCTACAAATAAGGTTCCCAAATTCATGGGAATCAGTTTGATTTCTTTCCTTTTTTACTGCTGTAACAATCAGCATGATTTGCTGATTCTAGCCTATTAATAGGCAATGGCTGTACATGGTTAAAGGCAGAAAAGAAGAGAATAAAAGTTCTTATTATCAGTGCTCTCTTTTCTCAGATCTCTTCAATTCCCTCAATTCTTCATTCTTTTTCACTCAAATAATCTTCATGGTATCAGAGCGTGTATTCTGATCCACATCATCTTCAATCTTTGTGAGTCTTCTTCTCTATTCCTCTTTTGTTTCTTCTCAAAACTAATGGTCAAGTACGGAATGGCCTCCTCTGCAACATCAGCTGCGTCTACCACAACCATCTCTTCTGCTCGAGAGAACGGTGAATCTAGCATCCCAACGAACTCCGATTCCCTACTGCTGCCGATCACAAGCCACAAATTAACTGATTGGAATTATCTTCAATGGTCACAATCCATTATGCTTTTCATTTGTGGCAAAGGAAAAGATGATTATCTTACAGGAGTAATGACCGAACCAGCACAGGAAGATCCAAAACACAAGGTTTGGAAAACTGAAAATAGCATGGTCATGTCATGGTTGTTAAATTCCATGACCAAGGAGATCAGTGAAGATTTCATGTTTTATGGTACGGCTCAAGAGATATGGGAGGCTGAAAAAGAAACATACTATGACAATGAGAACACGACTGAGCTATTTGAAATCAAAGGTCAACTGAGCGAACTTCGACAAGGGGATATGACTGTTACCCAATATTTTAACAATCTAAATAGATATTGGAAGCAACTTGATCTCTTTGATAGTGAAAAGCTCAGTTGTACTACTTGCAGCATCAAGTACAAGAAAATCGTGGAGAAAGAGAGGATTTTCAAGTTTTTACTAGGTCTCAATAAGAATCTGGATGAAGTTAGAGGAAGGGTTCTCAACACTAAACCCTTACCTTCAATCCGAGAAGCCTTTTCTGAAGTAAGGAAAGAAGAAAGCCGTAAGAAGGTGATGATGGGCGCTCAAACAACCACTCAAGGATCCTCTGACTCCTTTAAAGCTTCAGCTCTCCCTGCACCTGGCCCCAATCTGAGTCGTGATGGTTCTCAATCAAGAAAAAATGGCCGTCCATCGTGCAAGCACTGTAAGAAACCAGGACATACAAAGGATACGTGCTGGAAAATACATGGAAAACCGGCTGATTAGAAACCTAGAGCAGCTTATCAGAATCATCAGAATAAAGAGAAAAGTCGTGGACTCATAGCCAGTAGAGAAGAGAAACCTACTTCAAAAAACATGATGTTCAGCCAATAGCAATTGGAGTTCCTGCAAAAGCTTATCAGTCAACAGAATGTGCCCGAAACGAACGGGATTAGGACTACAACTCAAAAAGGTAATATCCCCACAATTGCAACATCACAAAAGGAAACTTACAGTCCTTGGATTGTTGATTCTGGTGCCTCGGACCAAATGACGGGTAATCAAAAGTTATTTCACACACTTTACCCATATCCTGGAAATTATAATGTGCAGATTGCTGATGGTTCTGGTGCTAAGGTCACAGGAATTGGAACTATCGTCATTAACAAAGATTTTATTCTAAAATCTGTGTTACTAGTTCCAAATCTAAACTACAATCTTTTATCTATCAGCCAACTTACTAAAGATCTAAAGTGTGTAACTCATTTCTCACCAACTCATTGTTATTTTCAGGACTTAGAATCAGGGAAGATGATTGGCAATGTTAAGGAGTGTGCGGGACTCTATCTTCTCAAAGGGCCTAGTAATCCTACAAAACACGCTCATCATGCAAGTGTGTCTCTCCCTATTTCCTTCAACCTTTCCAGTAAAGAAAGTGCAATTATGTTGTGGCACTTCCGAGTGGGACATCCTAATTTTCAGTATTTAAGAAAGTTGTTTCCTTCGTTGTTTGACAATGTGAATGAAAAATCTTTGCGATGTGAAATTTGTCAATTTTCAAAGCATGTTAGAAACAACTATCCATCTCAGTCCTATAAATCTTCTCATCCTTTTGCAATGATCCATAGTGATATTTAGGGTTCCTCAAGGGTTAAAACAATTTCAGGAATAAAGTGGTTTGTGTCATTCATAGATGATCATACTAGATTAACATGGATATATCTCATGAAAGATAAATCAGAAGCTAGTGTCATATTTAAAGAATTTTATACCATGATACAAAATTAATTCTAAACGAGTATAAAAGTCTTTAGGTCTGACAATGCTAGAGATTATTTCAATACCATCCTTGGAGAATTCTTCAAAACTCATGGGATAATACAACAAAGCTCTTGTGTTGACACACCCCAACAAAACGGGATAGCAGAAAGAAAAAGCATGAATCTCCTTGACGTAGCCAGGTCAATCATGTTCACCACCCACGTCCCTAAACAATTATGGGGGGATGCTGTCTTAACTGCAGCATACTTAATAAACCGAATGCCTTCTCGGGTGCTAAATTTTGAGTCCTTGTAAAAAAATTACTCAAAAGTCATCCTACAACTCATGTCATCTCCACTTTACCATTTAAAATCTTCGGAAGTTCAGTTTTTGCTCATAATCTCGCTCCAAACAGAAGCAAACTCGATCCCAGAGCCATTAAATGCGTCTTTCTGGGTTATTCTCCTAATAAAAAAGGTTACAAGTGTTATTGACCAGCGACACAGAAATTTTACACAGCCATGGATATAACCTTTTTTCAAAAATCAACCCTATTTCACCCAAAATTTCATTCAGGGGGAGAATACACAGAAGGAATGTAATTCTTGGTACCTCACAACCACAACCGAACATGGCTTCTCAAACAATAACGTCGAGCCCGAACCTGAACCAACTTCAAATGAGGCCGAACCTGAACCAACTTCTGAACCAGAACCGACTTCAAATAACCTCCCAATTGAAACATCTCCTGAACCACCTCAGAATGTGCATGAAAAAGAGCTACGTGTTTATACAAGGAGGAACAAGCCAAGAGAAGGAAGAGATTCCAATTCTTCCTTAGCAGAGCCATGAATCCGAACTCATTTCAAGAAATGAAGGTAACAATGTTGTTGATGACCTTAACATGCCAATTGCCATAAGAAAAGGTGTTCGGGAATGTACAAATCATCCTATTCACATATTTGTGTCTTATGCTGGTTTATCTCCAGAATTCAAGGCATTTACTACTAATCTAGTTGATATTGAGATTCCATTAAACATCCATATTGTTCTTAGCAAACTAGAGTGGAGGAAGGCGGTTGAAGCATAAATGGAAGCACTTGAAAAGAATGGCACTTAGGAGCTGACGGAGCTACCACAAGGAAAGCGTCCAGTTGGCTGCAAATGGATATTCACTGTCAAAGTCAAACCAAATGGGAGCCTAGACCGTTACAAAGCAAGACTTGTTGCCAAAGGTTTCCATTGACTGTTCAAAAACATTCTCGCCAGTTGCAAAACTCAACACCATTCGTGTGCTTCTCTCCTTAGCTTCCAATAAGGACTGGCCATTGCATCAGTTCGATGTTAAAAATGCATTCCTTCATAGGGATTTAGAAGAGGAGGTATTTGTGAAAATTCCACATGGATTTCAAACAAGAGCTAACGTCAACAAAGTGTGCAGGCTTCGAAAGTCGCTTTATGGACTCAAACAATCTCCACGAGCTTAGTTTGACAGATTCACATTGTGTATGTTAATGATATTGTTGTGACAGGAGACTTTAAGGAAGAAATACTCAAACTGAGAGAAATCCTATCAAGAGAGTTCGAAATCAAAGAGCTTGGAAACTTAAAATATTTCCTTGGTATGGGCTCGTTCTAAGAAAGGGATAGTGGTCTTTTAGTAAAAATATGTTCTGGATCTACTCAAAGAAACTGGGATGTTAGGATGCAAACCTGCAGATACTCCAATGGATCCGAATAAAAAACTCGGGGTGAACGAAAATAGCCCCCCGGTGGAGACAGGAAGGTATCAACGCTTGGTTGGGAGACTTATTTATCTTTCACACACACGACCTGACATAGCCTTCTCAGTAAGTGTGGTCAGTCAATTCATGAACAAACTAAATGAAGAACATCTGGAAGGAGTATACAAAATTCTTCGTTACTTAAAGATGACTCCAGGGAGAGGAATGTTCTTCAAAAAGGGAACAAATCGAATGGTAGAAATCTTTACATATGAAGACTTGGCAGGCTCAATCGTTGACAGAAGATCCACAACAATCTACTGTTCCTATGTGTGGGGCAATCTTGTCACATGGCAAAGTAAGAAACAGTCAGTTGTTGCAAGGAGTAGTGTAGAAGCAGAGTTTGGCGCACTAGCACAAGGTATCTGTGAAGGGATGTGGATAAACAAACTACTTAAGGAACTCAGAGTCCCTACAGAAGAACCCATGTTGGTATTCTGTGATAACCAAGCAGCAATAAGCATTGCTAAGAATCCTGTTCATCACGATAGGAACAAACATGTGGAACTTGACCGACATTTCATTAAAGAGAAAATTAAAGAAGGGATTCTGACTCTGAATCATGTGTCAACTCATCAACAAGTGGCAGATGTCCTAACAAAAGGATTTGCACGAGTAAAGTTCGAGGAGCTTAATTCCAAGCTTGGAATGATCGACATATATTCCAAACTTGAGGGGGAGTGTTGAAAGATTATGATAATTTGTAATTAGTTATTATTGCCTTTGTTGTATTTTCTGTTTTTAGTAAATAAGGTAAATCTGATCATATCAGATTTGATTAGGGCCTACAAATAAGGTTCCCAAATTCATCGGAATCAGTTTGATTTCTTTCCTTTTTTACTGTTGTAACAATCAACATGATTTGCTAATTTTAGCCTATTAATAGGCAGTGGCTGTACACGGTTAAAGGCAGAAAAAAAAAAAAGAAAAAAAAACTTCTTATTATCAGTGTTCTCTTTTCTCAAATCTCTTTGATTCCGTCAATTCTTCATTCTTTTTCACTCAAATAATCTTCAATAACTACTGTAATTTGCATGCGGATACATAGCAAAATAATGTTAGAACATATATAAAGCATATATGTATTTTAATTCAGAAATTGATATTTTCTCTGTACCTCCTTCTCTTCAAGCTTGTTATGGCCAAAGATTTCGAGTCTTTTCTGCCCCTCCTCACTTGATAAACCCTCCCTGGTGCATTGCAGCTGCTCAAACACTTCATCAATAGGAATATGTTCCTGCAGTGGACACATATATACTTGTTAAATGATAACTAGTACTACTCTATTTCAACATTATATCATCTGAATATATATATATATATATATATATTTCAACATTAGTGTTCAACAAGAGAATCATTTATATCCCAGCGCTGACCTAAAATAACAAGAATAGTATGTTTTCTCTCTCTCTCTCTCTCTCTCTCTCTCTCTCTCTCTCTCTTTTATTTATTTATTTTTTTATGCATACTTAAAACAAAATCTTTAAACTCTCAACTTAATGTATGTTCTCAGAGTTTATTCGACTCATACATGCACTGCAACAACAGCAACAATAATACTAGTTGCAACAACAAAACAATAATTATAATTTACAATAATGGTAGAAAAGATATTACCTTTTAGATTGGTTATTGAGAAGATTTTTAAGAAAATAAATGGAGTATGTTATAGAGGATGATTTTATCGGATCCAAACAAACAGTGAATAATTTGTACATTAATATAGATGAAAGACAAAAAGCTAAAACAGCCGAGAACTATTTTATCAAACTTAATTTCAGTAAGTAATTTTAACGAGCAATTAATTGTAACAAAAATATTGAAGAAAACTGAAAAAAGTTCCTCTAACAGCTCGATCGGCTAATATAACATAACGTTGAATCAATATTTAAGGATTGAACTCTTTGAAGGGCCAGCGCGCGTAATAATGGTAATTTAATTAAGAGATAGAAACAGATCTTAAAAAAAGAAAAAAACGAAAAATACCACCCCGTTGTCAAGAAAAAAGAGAAAAGAATAAGAAAACAAGTGCAACACAAAAAAAAATTACAGGAAAAAAAAAGGAAAAAGAAATAA